GAAGGGAGAGGGAAAGAGAAGTGATGAAGGAGTCCACAAAAGAGAGGGAGAGAGAGAGAAATGGAAGGAGAGAAAACAAAGGAAAGGGAGATGATGTGGAAATTGGCCAGAGAGAGAGAGCGCGACGATGTATAAGCCGACCAGAGAGAAAGGAAGGGAAGAATACGAGGCTGGACAAACACAGAAACACCCTAATTCTACCGGAGGGATTGCGGAAAAGTGGAGCAAAGCATGCCAAAGTAGGACCAGGAAAGTTGGCCACAAGGCAGAGATGACGAGCTAAAGTGTCGATTAGAGGGGCAGAGACAAAATCAACGATACGGAGAGGCTCGACCTCGAAAGGCTAAGAAGAAGAACAACACCAACAAGAAAAAGAGGAAGAAAAAGGAAAAGAAGAAGAAATTGAGGAGCAACTGATAGCTTTGCTCAAGCGAAGAGAGCACAAGTCCAGGCGAGTTCAGGAGACGCTTAAAATGAAAATTGAGACAACTCGCCCGGAAGAAGGGCAGAACAGAGAGCGGGAAAGGAGTTGTGGGCACAAAATATTCGAATCACGCGGTTTGTAGGTATCTTTCATGATAACTTGAGATGTAGGCCAGGTATTCGATAGGTACAGAGGAAAGTTACGACTAGTGAAAGCCGATGCGTCGCTTCGCCTTAAGGGGACTGCTTGACAGACCGGGTGATGAAGACCGTAATGATGAGTTCATTTCGTCTGTACCCAACGTAAGGACAGCATCGACAAGGAGAGTCGAGGAAGATGAGATAAATCTTATCATGCACTGTTGTTAGGGCAACCTTTGGATGCGATGGTTGGGATAGAGGAAGGGATAATTGATTAGGGTTCGATGAAAGGTAGAGCCTGGCGAGAATGTGTATTTCAGCCTAGTTTATTTGAGGTACCCATTGCATTGCATACAGCCTTGGCTCCCAAAAGGTGTTCTCAGCCCAGTTGGACTGGACTGTAGCCTCGAACTCAACTAAATTGGTCAGTCAAGCCCCCAGCAGGACTCGCTTCGGACTCAGGCACTGATTGATGGATCCAGTTCCCACAGTCAACGAAGTACAAGGCCCCAAAAAGCCCTTTGAATTCACTCGAACTCGCCTCAAGAGTCTCGCTTGCTGAGCAGAAGCCCAGCGGGATTCGAGCCTGCTCCATTAAGGCACGTGACAGAAGTGACTTTTAAAGAAATTCATAGTTTATGTTGAGGCCATTATTCCCGACGAAACTACTATGCACCAAATTAATAGACATCGAGAGTAGCATTAGATATTGAATAGGATTCGAGAGCTGTTTAGTTAACATGACAGCCCGTAAATAAGCTAAAAGGAAAGTTACAACAAGACTGTATTTGTTCTTCGTTGAGGACTCTGAAAATTATCAATCGGGTACTTCAGGAACTTTCATTTTACCGGTCAACTATGTCTCGAAGCCCAAGCATGAACCAGCAAATAAAACTCAAGGACTGGCGTAACTGGGCTTTGCCGAAGTGTATGTCGTCCAGAGATGGGTTCTAACATATTTAGCACTCTGAACCTCTGGAAGGCGTAAGATCAGAAAGTATCATCTTCACAAAACAGAAGAGTTTTGTATGAAAGGCGCCAATCTCTATAATCCTAAAATTGTCTTATCGCCCAAAATGTACAGCAATTTCGGTATCGCTTTGACATCATGAACCCCCTCGTCGTCAAATATGCATATAAAAAACTGCGGTATCCGGTTTAGCATCGTTGTCCAACTTGAGTCGACAGCATAGCCTGATTAACTTGAAGCTGCTCGTCACTGCACTCCTTGATCACGGTTTATTAGATCAAGGAGGAAAATATACTTTGATCTTTACGCCTGAGATAAATTTATATGAAAGGTCAAACTTTCGCATTCATTTGTCGTTGATAAATGAGTTTAGAGCATAGTTGGAGTTCAATGAAAGGAATCCAATTTTAGATGATATTAAAGTGTAATTTCAGCATTAAATTATCTTGAAAACAGACTGGGCATATTCTTTGTATCCGAATTTCAGGTTCTGAAGTCTCGACTGAGGTTTGCAGATATTTGAATGCCTCATTTTTTACGATTCTCTTCTACTGTTCTGCGAAAATCGAAGGATTCGGTAATAATTTAAACAGACATACCCTTCATTTCGTCTGAGAAGGCAGATGGAAGGGATTCAAAGATTGGCCGCACCGGATACTGCAGAAGGGTTGCCTTGGACTTTTGTTGAATTGTGCGAAGAGGATCTAGGCTCACAGTCCTACGAAGCCGATGATTCCATACTAAGCTTTCCTTCCTGACGTGACTGACATCGTCAGGGCCAGAAACCATTATTCATTAATAAACACCAAAAAAACACCAGACCAAGAAATGTGGCCAGCTGAGATCCTACCTACTTCTCATACCTCACCTTGCGATCTTAATGAGGCCTTCCATGATTTGAAGGTATGAAGACCAAGATGGTGTGACCTTTTGTGTGGTCGCAGTCTCATTTCGTTGTGAAGAGGTTGTTTGACCTTGTTTTCGCAACCTGGTCATATTGGTAGGAAGACTTAGAGGAACGCACCTAGTC